TTGTATGTCCGTTCTATGAGGAACTTCATTCATAATTGCGTGGCTACGCGTTACAAATTTATTTATTTTCATAAATTGAATCAGATAGAATGATTTTGTTTCATATTTCAATTTTGTGCGGGGAAACTGCACGTGACAAGATACAAGATGCAAGACTTTTTATTTAACGTCGCATATAAATCAATAGATATTAGCACTGTTGTGCTATTCTTCCGACAAACGTTAGAAACACACCCAGCCGTCAGATATTCCTCTGTTGTTGTTCACCTGGCTCGCCGATAACGACGGGCAAATTTGTATTTTAAGGGATCAATCCTTATTGCATTTTATATATAAAAGCGAAGTTATAAGCAAAAACTGAACATATGTTGCAGACCTATTGACATAACTGCATCAGGTGTCGAAGACAGACTGAATGAGCTTGACATAAGCGCCCCATTCGGTTTGTGTACGACACCCGTTGCAGTTATATCAGTATGTCTGCCGTTTATTGATTATTTATACGACACTCTGTCATCATTATTATCTATCATCACTATCATCATTTGTCAAACATCTTCCATTTTTCAAGTCATTTCTGATTTGTTTACTTTGAAAGCTATGGAAATTAACAAAAAACATTAGCAACACTGTCAATAACTAAGTACCAATAGACATGTTTTCTTGGTGTGTTTTCAATATTAAGAATTGTCTTTTTTTATTTTAACAGGATTTCATTTTACATTACGTCAGCAACCAGGGCGTTATTATTAAATGAGTATGACACCCTCCAATGAGTTTATTTCTCGTATGACCAGCGTGTTATGTTATGACAAGCGAAACAGCTTTTTTTCTACACACGTGTTACCATCGAAGATTTATTGGCTTGTACTACCTCCATACGAACGAGATTAGTGGGTAACTCCATGGACTTTATTTCATAGGCCATCTTCAAATTATCACGTCAAGTAACAATGCTTTGCGACGTCATCCTCCATTGTGACGTCATAACTCATGGCATTTTCCCCCGATTGGAAAACACGAGTAATGTATTTCCAAAAGAAACAGATGGTTATCTAAATATAACATTTAGACGTTGTGAGAGGAAAAGGCCCCTAAACTCGTGATGGTTGATTATCATGTTTATCTTACTTTCGTTAATTAATTCAAATTTTAGAAGACACTCGGTAAAATATCACGTCTTAATACAATTTCAAAATTAACTAATTCGAGATAAACATGATAACCAACAATTACTCTTTGGAGAACCTCTATTTTCGTTATGACTATCTTTTGTAAACCAAGGTTTTCATTGTTGTTTTTAAATTATTTTAACACATTTTCCTTTACAAGTACCGAAATATGTTTTCGCTGATGCTTAAAACATATCACGTGCAACTTTAGCAATTCTATCTGTTCAGCGTGATGTCCCTTTAATGCCAGTGAGTTTAACAGGTTGTTTAAGTCATATCATGTAAAATCATAATGTCTAGTCGTGCTTGAATCAACCATGTATGTAACCCGTGGACATTTTGTCAATACTATTCAAATAAATTAAAGTATAAAATGTGCACAAAACGGATCACACTTGTGTCTCTGTATACAGTTTCAACAGACTTGTATTTCCTAACTCTATCATTGACGATGTACATTTGATTTTGTTTACACAAAACAAGAAATTTATTACCGAATTTGTTCATTTGTACAGGAAACCCTCTTTTTACTGCCACCGTTTGTCAAAAAACGGAAAGAAGAAAAACAGGCGTTATAAAGAAATTTGGCGATAAATTGAGGGAAAATAAATCAGAATTCTTAAGAAAATGATTAAAGGTTACCTTGAAATATATTGGCGGTTAGTGAGGGGGTATACTGAATAAAATGGCATTATATCGAGGGTTAACTGAATTTACATTTGCTTGCTCTTAATATAGGAACAACACGCTAAGCTTTTCAACGTCATACATATACTTTAAAACATTATCGTTATGATTCAGATTGTATCAAACGTATCCATTACTGAGTCATCAGGTTTTAGATAATCATTCAACCTTTCGGATTTCAAAGAAAAACATTTTGTCCGTTTCATCATACTGTGTCGTGCTATGCTGGTATCAACGGTTTAGTACGGTACTTTCATTATACTGTATTGTAACAAAAATAAACACAATTATCTGAAATATGTTTAATTTGCAAAATATACATAGCATTACAAAATAGATTCTCAAACATTTAAACCACATCATAATTCGGAATTGAACATTATCTCAATTCATTAACTGATACATTTTTAAGTTATATAATAACTGACAATTATTGTGCTAGATTAAAATGTTTTCACTTAACATTAGACAATAACACAAAGTATATACAACTAATTCCGTGAACATATACCACCTCCTTTATGCGCCGAGCCATGGAAAGGTAACTCTTATTATTCACATTGTGGACAGAAACCATTACACATACACCTGCACTCGTGTTCCCTCACTCGTGTTCCCTCACTCGTGTTCCCTCGTGTTCCCTCACTCGTGTTCCCTCACCCTCACTCGTGTTCCCTCACCCTCACTCGTGTTCCCTCACTCGTGTTCCCTCGTGTTCCCTCACTCGTGTTCCCTCACTCGCATAAGTTCCAAACCAGTAACACACGGCTCATTTGTTTATACAAAATCTTTGCAATATGATTATGATATGCCTTAATTTGTAGGGAAAAAGAAAGAAAAAGAAAAAAATGCAAATGCATGACGTATGGTTACTAACCAATGAAAAGCGTCGTTACATCGCTGACGCGAGAGAATATTCCGTATGGCAGTGCCAAAGACTTACAAACCGTATAAACTGTAGCTGATAGTTTTAATCTCGCTCAGTTACAGGTAATTGATTTTTTTTCTCGCACCTTTAAGTTCGAAAAGAACTGTTCAATTTTGCTAAAAACTACAAGTATCCCGCCTTGGGCCTCAAATGATAATGACCTCTTCACTACTAAAGCTACATTTGAGTGCTTCCGCGTGAAAATGTAGTCCGTCCTTACATAGATTACAACGTATTTCACAGTGTAGATTATATTTTATCTACAACATCAAATATCTAACAACATCATAACTGTATAATACATATAACGACAAAACAGAACATTTATACTGCAAATTGTCAATTTCAAGCAGTTAGTGCGTATGAATACATCGCAGTATAAAAATTCCGCGAAATGTCACGTACAGGTACAAGACAGATCGGACGAGATAGAACAATCTAGCATGGGGTATAACGTGGGATATCTCTGTCTGATGTGCGAGAAAGAGCTGTCCAGGATAAGAAAGGGGTGTAGGAAATTTCTATCTTACACCCCATTTCACGTGACGTAACGTCACAATGGCTCAACAATGACGTGACGTCACGAATTTGGAACTCTCCGATGCCGCAATGCGGAAAAGGCGACGTGATGAAATTAAAACATGTAATGATATATTTACCGACACGTAGGAAAGATGTGATTAATCTTTTTCCGCAAACATTGTTTGCAAATATGGGATATGCTAAATCTGTCTGGCTAACTCGTTTTCGTCTAAAAAGCTAAGGGGGAAAATTGATATTTTCGGGATTTTCAAATTTGGCAAAACCCTCGGTAAAGCCACGGGTTTAACCAGACTTGAAAACCCCTCAGGTGGAATTTCCCTATCCTACAACCTTGGGCATGAACGAGTCTTATATCATTTCAACTAATACAGTATATTTTTAATTACACTATGTTATTTTATATTAGACATTAGATAATGACAACAAAATTAAGATCTTTGTCTGGTATTCTTATGTCTTCCTGAAAGCCTATCAGCTACTATATACACTGCTGCTATAGGATTGTCTAGGCATTCAAAACGATGGGTACCTGTGAGTGGGATGTATTTGTTCGTGTCATTTAGTTTTTAATCTTGTTATTAAACAAGAGGCGCAGAGGGCCTGTATCGCTCATCTGTTTCTTTTGTTACATGAAACTGACATATAGGTAACTTCAGACCAAATTTGGTAACTAGCAAACAAAACATTTTAACATCACTTAAACGGTTCTTAAGATATTGTCGTTTGAAATTTGACCCACGTTGAACTTCGACTTCGGCTAGCACTTGAAGTTGACCTTTGACCTCATTACTGTAATCGAAAAAAATATTTGCTCTGCTGGTCTGCATAGCATACCCAAGTATCATTACTCTAGCCCAAATGGTTCTTAGGATATTATTGTTTGCAATTTTGAACATATTTGACCCATGTGACCTTGAAATTAGGTCAAGGTCATTTTAATGAGAAACGTGTATAGCACTCCATCCCAGGTACCTACTGGCCTAATATCATGTCCCTGTGCCTTATGGAACTTGAGAAGAATATTGTTAAAGGTTTTTACCTATATTGACCCCGGCTAGCACTTCAATGTTGACCTTTGCCCTTATTACGACAATAAAGAAAAAGATTCGCACTGCTGGTCTTCATAGCATATCGAAGTATCATGACTCTAGTTCTAATTGTACTTTAAATATTGTTGTTTGCATTTTTTAACATATCTTACCCCTGTGACCTTGAAAGTAGGTCAAGGTCGTTTTAATGAGGAAACTTTATAGCACTCCATCCCATATACCTACTGGTCAAATGTAAAATGACGCTATGTCCTTCAGGAGAAGTCGTTCAAAAGAAAAAGTTGACGGACGGACGACGGACGCCGGACGCCGGACGCCGGACGCCCCAGTACGGCATACGCTTATATGGCCCTTCGGGCCAGGTGAGCTAAAGTGCGTTAACGGTTCTAACTACCACATACATTTTGACATAATATTTCACCACACTGTCACATATATTTATATGAGAAGCGTTTCTCTGAGCTAAATGTAGCACCATCTCACCATTAGCTTGTAAGCTCACAGCGACGTCATCCATTAGCTTATAAGGTCACAGTCCACGCTTATCTGTGTTTTTATCAATTTAATTATTATTATACCAATCGTAGTAAATATACAACAGTATAGTATAGGTAACTGTTACATCAAATATATACATTTACATCAGCTGTCTCCCATTACATGTGATGATGACAATTATATATAGTTTGTTGTGTTGGAGCTAACTCCATATGCCCTGTGTTCTCAAAGAATAAAGGAAAGAGTGTCTTTAAAAGTTGAAATCTCTTTACACCTTGTATGTTTTGCGTGGGTACTGAATATACACAAGTTAATGTACCAACGAAATGGTGTCTTTTTTTGGTAAATCACAAACATTGGGCCCCACGAAAAAAAATTGATTTAACAGTTATCAAAACTTACCATCGCATTTTAGTAATTCATTGTTACAAATATTGTGCAGATAATCAAGAGCAGATGAAGGCAAGTTTTTTTTTACCAATGCACTGAATGTTGGTGTTTCTGGACTTTGATTTTCTGTCATATAGCCCGCCATCAAACTTTGTGTAAACCTTAAGCTTCATACCGCCATTTCCTCTGAAGCCAAAACTAGACATACGGACATAAAGCTAAAATGCGCTCAATATCATTCCACGAACTATGTTTACACTTGTCGAATATTTATCAACTTTGATTGCAATTCCAAACTTATATCATTAAAACTATGTTTAGGCATGTCTACAGAAATAAAAACCTAATTGCGTACCATAATACGAAGATTTTCATGTAATGATATCGAATCCTGTCGATTAGCCGACGGAAATAGTTGATATTCTTAATATAAACGGTTAACTTAGTTCTATTGCTGTTCACGAATGCAAAATTTAGATAAAGCGGTTTAAACGGGATTCAACCTAGTTGACCTTTTTAAATGTATATAAAAATTAAAGAATTTCATAAACAACCTAAATTAAAACACTGTAATGGAATTCGATGATAGTATTCTATGATATAATGCTTCTCGTAGGTCAATATGACTCAGTTTGAATGAATTAACGAGCACGTACATGAACATGCATGACGTAATCACAATGACGTCTGTTCGTTTATCACGTGAACTAGGACAGAACTCTGCTTTGAATTTTGGCTTTCACATGTTTTAGGAGGAGATTCTACATCTTCATCGTAATTAAGCTGCAATCCGGAATCATTCGTGTCATCACTAGTACTGTTTGCACAAAAAAGTAAATCTTGTCTTTCCTCATTCACTCCCTCAATCAGTTTTGGTATTTTCTTTTTCTCAAACTCCTCCGCGAAAATATTGGTCTTTGTGGTGAAACTTGAAAGTGTGCCTACCAATTTTTCCCTCCTGTCGTTTTTCCTCAGCAACGCCATTTCCTTGAGATAGACACGAAGCTGGTTGTCCTGTTTATTTTTACGAATATGTGACGCAATCATCATAACAATGGAAAACCCGTAGATAAAAACAACGGCCACAACATAATAAAGAGCTCCGATGTCATCCGAATCACTTTTTCGAATGGATTCTACGACTGCCTCCATTGTGTGATTATTTGTCCGTATGCGCAGGCGCAGGTTACTCGTAAAGTCCATCATATTTCTGAAATGAATTAAGATAAAGTGTTAACCAAAAATATGCGATATTGACATGTTTTCAAATGAATTATTAAATAGGGTATGGTAGAGAGAAAGGGTTTTGCTACGAACATGAAATTGTAAATGAAACAGCAGAAGAGAAAAATATAATCAGTGAGGCGAGGGAATGGTACCGTTCTTAAAAGTTGAAATACTTTTCTACCTTGTATGAATGTAGTCTGGTTTAAGTCATTAAATGTATGCCAGTTCTAACGATTGGTACATTGATGATTGCAGTATTCTTCATGGTGGCTGATACCTGATGAACAGTAATTACTGTGATAGCCATAATTTTCATGAGTTTTTTTTGTTTCCGTTGATACCGTGGACACTCTTCATCCACGTATTCATATGTCCACGAAACGAAACAGCGAGAACAAGAGGTCGACGGGCATTAACGGACACTTGAGATGGTATTGTTGTGATGTTATCAAAGGGAAAATTAACTAACATTACATTCGGTTTGGTTTGAATTTGTTTAACGCCCTGTCAGCAACAAACGTCATTTGAGGACGCGTCTCCATGTGTGTGTATGTGTGCTTGCGTGTGTGTATGTGTGCTTGCGTGTGTGTATGTTTGCTTGCGTGTGTGTATGTGTGCTTGCGTGTGTGTATGTGTGCCCAAAGAAGAGGACACAAAAGCAAATCCCAAATTCTGTAGCGATTTCCGCATTAGTCACCTCTTACGATACTCTTGCAGTGGGTAACAGCAGGTGTATTCTTTTCTCGATCTCTGATATGAAGGAATGAAATAAAAAGTAAAATTTACCCCCTCCCCGGAAAGGAATGGATGGACCGGAGCTTGTTAAATTCATACTTTGATTAAGCACTATAGGACCTTTCCAAGAAGAGGATTCGATTCTAGCATGTCTCGGTCTAAGGAAGAACATTGTTGAAATTTAAGCCAATTTGAACCCCTTTGCCCCCACCCCGCCGCCCCTGAGGGTGAGTCAGGGTCTTTATTTTCGTACCATCAAACTGCAATCACATATTGACAATTCCAACCAAGTTTGAATTATATCACACAGAAAAGAAGCAAAATATACCCAAAATTGTAAACTCTCTGTTATCACCTATAGTAAACTAGGCTTTTTTAACAAGCACATTTTGGCCCGTCACTCAGACCCCTGGGTAGTTAAATCCATATAATTCACAGTTTTGGTTTGTCTATGACCATGGAACTTTCCTACATTTGTTTTTGAAATATGTTTACCGTCACTGTACCCAAATCGGGACAGTACCCATAACGGCCCAAGAAACTGTCATTCAATACAAAGACGTACTTTTATGAATATGTTTTTAATTTGATAATACTTTTCATGACAATTAAAATGTATTTAATTTTATTGGCTGCTGATTATCATTAAATGGACAATTTTAAAGGTAAGAATAATTACCAGAACAAGACTTTCCTGCTTTATGTGCCGGCACGTGCGACGCTATTTATTTGGAGATCATTTTGAAAAGTCTATTTTATCAAAACTCATGCTAGTTTGAAGAGGAAATTTAATCAGAATCCTCGTTGACTTTAAAATATTTCAACTATGCATATTTTCTGCCGATATTAATAATTTATCTCCAAGTATTTGCCAAAATACCGGAAGTGTCCCTTCCAGGGTACAGTAACGCCGGTTCAAGGGCCTACGTAACTCTGATGGTATTTCGCGTTCTTTTTATAGAACAACGCGCCCGAAATATCAAATTGTGATAGAAATGAAAAGTGGATAGTATCTAATTATGAAAAATGAACAAACATTTTGAGAGCTGATAGTAAAATTCTTCAAACTGGCATAAGTTTTGATAAAATAGACTTTTAAAAATGATATCATGGTAAAGAACATTGATATTTATCTAAAAAGTGTCCCTATTTGGGTACAATTACGTTAGTGCTTATGCATGTTATTTTCTTACGGACGCACGACGGCCGATGCAAGACGGACAACGACGGACACAAGCCATTTGCAATAGATGAACTGAGACTTTGCTTCAGGCGAACTAGAACTACAGGCGAAACAAAAAGAGGAAACAATTCCGAAACGAAACCAACGACAAGAAATGGCGAGGAACAGCAAGAATGAACAATCACGAAACAACAAAAGGAATAATTACGACAAAGCAAGTATTGGCAGTTACACGAGGGAATGGTGACGAAACGTACATATTGACGAAAATAACAAGAGAACACAGTGACGTAAAACCAGGAAGAAAATACTGTGATGAAACAAGAGGAAAAGATGGCAAAACAGCAATAAATGTATGACGACACACGTCGAAATGGTGACAAAACAAAATGGAATTTTTGACGAAACTATGCAAGGAAATGGTAACAAAACAGCGATAGGAATTAGTGACGACATTGCAAGAGGAAATGGTGACAAAACAACAATAGAAAATGTGACGAAACAAGAGGAAATGGTGACAAAACAGCGATAGGAATTAGTGACGAAACAAGAGGAAATGATGACAAAACAGCGATAGGAATTAGTGACGAAACAAGAGGAAAAGATGGCAAAACAGCGATAGGAGTTAGTGACGAAACAAGAGGAAATGGTGACAAAACAGCGATAGAAAATGTGACGAAACAAGAGGAAATGGTGACAAAACAGCGATTGAAAATGTGACGAAACAAGAGGAAATGGTGACAAAACAGCGATAGAAAATGTGACGAAACAAGAGGAAATGGTGACAAAACAGCGATAGGAATTAGTGACAAAACAAGAGGAAATGGTGACAAAACAACAATAGAAAATGTGACGAAACAAGAGGTAATGGTGACATAACAACAAGAATTTCTGACGGATCAAAAAGAGAAAATTGTGACGAAACAACAAAAGGATGTAGTAAGAAAACAACAATTGGATTATGTTGCGAAACAAATAAAGGGGAAATGGTGACAAAGCAACAATAGGAAATTGCGATGACACAGTAGGAAATAGTGACAAAACAGCAAAAGGAATTTGTGACGAAACAACAAGAGAGAATGGTGACGTAATTGCCAGAGGAAACAGGGACGAGAATGATCAGCAGTAAACGACAATAGATATTTGTCACAGAGTAAAATCCTGAAATGACAAGCTCAAAATGTGAGCAACTTTCACCTCTAGCAGATATTGTTCAAATAGCTAGACATCGTTATATACTGACGTAAACAAGGTCGGTTCACAGCAGAGAAGTGATTTATATTTCTGTATAGACAGGGAGCGTGGCCTGCACACACTTACCGCATACCTCAAACACATAGCCAGATGTAATCAAACCAGAAACACAGATCCAATTAAATAAATGACTTGGAATGTTTGTCACCTCGGCGGCTAGATTGGCACAGCAAAGAAAACCACAAAGTGTGGCCTGTCCATTACAGCGCGTTTTCAATTGTTCACATAATTATACCCCATGCTACACGCTTTTCATTTCGTTCGATAGCTACGTTCGCCATCAACTCGAGTCTCTGTCGTGGAAGCTGCGACAGACGACACGTGAATTGATGTCATTTTAACACGGAGGCAGGATTTAGGTGTCTCTTAGTCGCTATGAATCCCATGGTGTATCATCGTCCTTGTTTGTTCAAACCAACTTTTCTAAAAAATATTAATGTTGCATTTTTGCATGGAATCCTCAAAAAATCCTAAAAAACCTAAAACGCAACTTGATAATCTTGAAACGTCGATTTTAGTCTAGAGCAGAACTTCGCTAATACGAACACTTTGATTTCAGTCTAGAGCGAGACCGCAAACGTGCTTGTCCTGATACTTTGCTTGGAGGATCCACGTACCACTGCCCAAAACTGTCACTAAGTATTGGAAACTATATATAATATAAAGATGAACTATACAAATTTATAATTAACAACAGTGTTCTGGGTGTTAAAAAGACACAGCGGAGCTAGGCCTAGATTCGAACCCCGAACTTCAGACTTCTAAACTATCACTATACCCGCTTGAGCTATCAACGGAAGTGTACGGCCAAACTGTTTTACAGTTCTACAAACGGAGGTAAATGGGGTTACTGTTACTATATATAGAGAAACCAGAGTGCAGTGGGATTGGGATACTTAAGAAATTAGAAATTAAAAACAAGATTATTTATAAAAACGAGTTTAGCCACTCAGCACACTGTATACAGGCAGGGTTAATTTACTTCATACAGGGAATATTGAATTAGTCTTCAATTCACGACAGCGTTATCTCATATGTTTAACCAGTCAATCGGAGACAAAAGCGAGTCAACAGGGGTCATGAGATTTTCAAAATGTTCATTATAAAACACTTTGTACAACGTTTATAGCAAATTAAAAAGAAAATAATAATAAGTATACCGATTTAACACAACCTCGTTCGTAGATCGTTTCAAAGCGGTTCACAAATTATTATCCTTTGGCCTTTGCAACCAGCCAATACCTTTCCCAACTCCCTAGGGAGCATACAGCCGGTGTTGCCATTTCGGCGCTCACATCTATTATTCTACAATTCTAGCACTGCCCAACCACGTACTCATTTACAGCTGAGTAGAAGGGAACAAGCGGAGTAAAGTATCTTGCTCAAAAGTACAACACAGTGCCGTGTCGTGACTCGAACCCGCAACCCTTCGGTCACGAGCCCAGCGTCCTATCACTAGATTACCGTGCCTCCTAAATACACAGCACACTTTCAGTTGTTGTAGCTAGGTAAAGCTAATTGATGCTAAATGTATTTGAAATCCAAACAACACTCAAATATCTCCCTGGAAGTGGCCCATTTGGCGCATACTACTACTTCAAATATTAACTGCTATGTATACCTATTGTTTACATTTCGCCCTTAATGCAAATATTATTTTCAAAAATCTTATGATAGAAAGTCGTTTTCAAATTGGAATTTTAGATACCGTTAAACTAATTCATCTAAAAATCGAACCAAGTTGATTGATTTAATTATCATATTTGCATCAGTATCGACTATGGATGTTGTTTCAATAAAGCTCGTTTACA